AGTCAGTGCTTGCACTGCATTTTTGGGAGGTTGTGGGTGCTCTGTGCCAACCATATTAATTACACATAATTATACAAGAATTAAAACTCGTGGTTTACCGAAAAATGTTGTGCTGTAGCTGAGAAGCTTCGGCGGGGAAGCAGCTCCAGTTCCTGTGCAAGAACTGCTTTCTGTGACAGAAGGAATTTCGCATTCCCTGGGTTTCACAATTCCTGCAGCCGGAGCCCAGGGCGGTGCTGTTCCCACAGCAGCATGAGACAAGGAGCACTGCCAGAGAACACTGAGCCCACCTCAGACAGGACCCAAAGTGCTGTGGGGGTGCCAAAACTCTGAGCTCCCGACACCTTCCCCCTCGGTGGGATCCACAGCCCTGAGCGAGGAGCCTGGGAATGGCTCATGGCACAGGCTGGGATGGAGCTGCTCAAAGCAGCCCCTGCTCAGGGCAGGGTCAGCCTGACCCTGCTGCAGCACTGGGGGCTCCTTTCTCTTTCCATGGGGGATTGACTGTCTGGAGCACTGTTTGAAAGGTCAGGATCCAGTCCCCTTTTCCCCCCTTGTGATAAAGCAGGACTTGTGCCATCCTGTTCGGGTAACGGGGATGTGGGAATGGTTCCTTCTCTGCAGCAGCCCAGTGGTGATGATCCTCACCTCAAGGAGGGGGTGCTGTGTGGGAAAGTGGGTTTGAATCCCTCCAAGCACAGAAGGAAACTGGATCCACATCCTGGCCAAGCCAACCACTAAACAATTGGATCAGGGGTACTCCTGCACTCTTGAACAGAGAGAGTATAGCAGGACTTACTGAGAGAAACCTACTGCACTTTAGGGGAAGCGAGGAAAGGAATGGCTCAGTTTGCAATCCCACATTGGCTGGATGTGGGATAGGTGCCCTGCCTCTCAGCCTTGTAGAGACTGATGCAGACATTCAATGGGAAAAGTGTAGACACCTGGGAAGTTCTTGTCTTTTTGATCTTGAAGTCCCCTGGTTGGAAGGCAGTTAAGAGGGGTTTTGCTGAGCAGAGTCTGGGTGAGATTTTCTATTCCAAAGTCCCCTCTGTTGCCTCTTTTGCATTTGAGATGCAAAACACTGGAACATGGTGAGGGGACATGTGGGAATACACATGGATTTGGCTGAGGGGCTGTTGGGACAGTGTTAATTCCCTGCTGGGGGCAGGGGAGGGTGCAGTGACACAGCTGCCTGTCATGAGTGCAGGGCTGCAAGGAATTATTGCCTTCCCACAGGAGCACTATAAGAGTTTGAGAGGGGGAAGGAGAGGGTTCTGCTCGTGTTGGTACCTGGCTGAAAGACTCTGGAGAGGCACTAAGGCAAGTGGAGTGGGCTGGGCAGGCTTCATTTCAATTCCTGTGTTCTTTAGTTCAGAGAAGCCTTTCAGTGTTCAGGAAGGGGCCAGGGAGGCTTAATATTGACACTTCCATTTCACAATGAGTATGATTTTACATCTCAGCTCTGGCTTCTTGCCCTCTTCTGAGTTAAGTATCTGTGGGCTCCTTCTTTGACTTTTAGGAGATTTCTTAATCCTCCTGGCTCTAGTTTAAGTAGTGCTGGGCTTTCATGTTTCTTATTAGCTAATGTGAGGAAATGGAGCAATATGAGGTTATTAAAAATTACCAAGCCTTTAGATGAATGGGAAAAAACCACGTCCACTGCAATAACTCCTGTCCATCACCTGGGCTGTGTTGATCCCTGCCAGCCAGGGTTCAGCCCACTGTGTTGCCATGTGTAAATTACCCACCTAAATGCAGCAAGACAGCCGAGCCGCTCCATGCTGAGTCCTAAATTGACACCAAAAAGGAAACTTCCATCCAGGTTGGAAATATAAGGAAATTGGGCAGACTAACCAGTAGCACAGAAAGTTCTGAAACCACAATGGCTATTAAATAAAGCCAGTTTTTTTTTTCCTGCAGACGTTAAGTCAGTGTTTAAAAATACAAACATCCAGATAATTAGAGGAACTTCAAATCTGTCTTCGTAGTGTTTCAGCAGGATGACATTGTCAGCTATTCTATTTTGTATTGATTTCCACAAAGCTCAGTTATTCCCAGCCTTCCATTTCAAATGCAGCACCTTGTTTTCCTGTATCTCGAAGCAAAGAAATTAGATAAAAACTATTGATTAGCAAGGCACAGAGGGGAGGGATGTCTGTAACCTTCCTTTGTCTTGCAGCTCTGCAGCTGAGGCAGCAGTAATAGGATTCTGTGCGAGTGCGACTGTGATGAGGTCACACTGCTGAGAAGGGAATGAAAACACTGCAGTCAGCGAGATCTCTTGCTTCCCTGATAGTTTTTGATATTGTTTGTCAAATTGCGATTTGAAGGTTATTTCTCTGGAGGCTGAAGTTGCCTGGCTGCTCTGGTGCACTTGGCTGGGCTTTTAGAAGACGTGCGTTCTGATAAACACCTTTCCTCTCACAGTGTCTGGCTCTTATTGGGAGCCAAAATAAGGGGCAAGAAAAGTTTCTCCGGAAATTTTCCATCGTTGCGATGTTAGTTGTTTGTTAGAATAAGTTGGATTTGTTTGGTCTCCCTACCTCTTCTTCCTCCCTTCTTTTTCGTGAGTCCTCTGCAGCTCAAAACAGGTTCAGTAAACACTTTCAAGCCCCATGAGCCGTGAAGGGTTATGCTGATTTAGTGCACAGTGGTGTACCATTTATTGGTGTCATTACTCAAGAAAGAAATGAGGAATTTCCTCATTTCATTTGCTTTGAGAAGGAGGTATTTTGTGACCTACCTTGGGCAACTGCAGAACTGCAGAGTTCAGAACAGAGAGTCCAGAAAAAAGACTGATACTTTCTCATCCTGGATGGGCTCTGGTACTGCTGTTCTTATATTGCTTCATAGCAGTGAAGCAGCTCATTGAGGTGACAGAAAGCTGAGGGTTGTGGAGTCATGGAATGGTCTGGATTGGAAGGGACCTTAAAGATCCTGTAGTTGTGACTGCCCTGGGCAGGGTCAGTGATCTGCTTCCTGGGAGAGGGAGTCAGGTCAAACACAGGATAAGCACAGATTACCTGGCCCTCAGGACTCTACTTTTGGTGCATAAGGCAGCTGCATTCCTCCCTTCCCACAGAGGAAGAAACCACATGGGGCATGTAATGTCTTCCTCTAATCAGGCCTTAGGGGTTTTCCTCCCCTTGGAAAGCTCCCTTGCCCTAGTTCTCCTCCCGTAACAAGACACTGGAAGATTGGTATGGAGATAGCTGGCTAAGAAAACCCTCCAAATAAACTTCTGGAATTGCACAGCAGTAACAAGATGCCTTTAGCAGGCAGCTGCCTTGTCTGGCTGTGCAAAAACAAGTATGTCAGGTCAAGCTGCATATTTTGAGGTTTGATGTCCCACCCTCTCAAATAAGTGATGTGGGAAGAAGTCTTCTGGGAAAACTCCTTCCCCAGGCTTATTACTGTGGGGTTTTTTGTGGGAAGCACTGAGACTTTCCCATCCCCTCCTTTACCCCATGTGATGCTCTGTGATCATAACATGTGGAACTATCTCATGCTTCCAAGAACTCCTCCAGTGCTGAACAAGCACACTCTGGGTGTTTTTCTTTAGTCTTTGTTCTGTTCTGCATGACCCTGAGGACATCATTCTTTGCCCCCTTTGTTTCTTCATCCATGTGAAGAAGGTGATATTTCCTTTCTCCAGGGCTGTTGTGAAAACTTTCTGCCTTTTTTTTTTGAGTCCCCTGCCAGCTGTTGGGTGCTATGGTAGAGCAAAGCATCTTGGTGTACTTGATTTATTTATAAGGGAAAGCTGACGCTACTTTAGAGATCTTTTTTTCCCCCCCTCCCTCTCTGAGTAATCTGCTGGAAAGACTGTTCTCATTTGCTGTTGCTGTTGTACTGTTTGTATCCTCCTCACCCCATTTCTGGCCATGTTTAAGGTATTGATGAAGCAGCTCCACAGGTTGAAGTAAGAGCTGTGGGAACAGTGCCTCTGGACTGCCCACTGACTGACTCACTGATGGCTGGACAACGGGAATCATCCGGTGCCTGATGGGGAACCTGTCAGCTGCCTGCTCCTGGATGATGGAATTGGGTCCTGCTGGTCCAGGGCTGCAGTGGTTACTGTCTCATTAGCATTCAACATCACCTCTGTGCTCCCAGAGAGGCACTAACAGTGGAGATTCAGGAAAAGAGATTAGAGGAAAGCAGGAGTGGGGAAAAGGCTCGAAATCACATTATTCTTTAGAAAACAGGCAATTGCAGTGTACTAAACACAAACAGCACATTCTTTAAATCTCTAGAGGGGCAAAGCTTGGCTGAGAGATCTTTTTTTTACCCTGTTTTGTTTCAATGGATAAGTATTTTTCTCTTAGTTCCCACTTATCTTTTCATTTGATGGATTTTCTTGTCCGCCCCCACCCAAAATATATTGCTAAGTGTGGCTTACTCAAAAGGGATGTGACTTTGGAGTCAGAGCAGCATCTGGTGCTGTAAAGAGTAGTCCAGAATAATGAGTAAGGGCAGTGGCAGCTTTACAATATCCAGAGAGAATCTGGCAAAAAAAGAACCCTCCTTTACCCACAGGACTTGGGCAAATTTTATATTTAATCTCTTAAATATTCTTGGCCACTATTGGGCATATTTTCAGGGTTGGTCATCTATCTCTGAGCAAGATCTAAAGGACTCAGCCAGGTGCAAAGATAATTGTTTCCTTATTTCAGGCAGCATCTGCTCAGCCATCTGGGAGGCTCATTTGTAAAAGGTGACAGGCTCAGGGAGCAGCCTGCAGGTCCCACCTCTGGTGGCATTGAGTCCTCCTTAAGGTGTGTGTGTGATCACAGTGGAGAGAACCCTGCAAAGGGAATGCAGCTCTGCTGAGGAGGAATTGGAGAGTGAGCTGAGTGTTTCCTGAGCAGAAAACGAGGAGCAGGAGAAGTTTGGTTATCACAGAGAAAGACTCCAGTCTTGATTTTCCATGTTTTACTCCAACCCCAAATTACCCTTCCTTCATACTAAATGCTTCTGTGTCCCCATATATTATATTAATCTTTTATTTTACAAGGCTTTTTACCAACAGAATTCCTGCCAATTCTCCACATCTCCCATTAATGAAGAGCCATGGCCACTGTTATTTTAGTGCTCTGTAACTCCACAACATCTGGGGTTGGGGCCTGTTAATCTTCTGTCCTGACCTTCTGCCCTTTCTGCTGTTGGTTTGTAGGAAACTGTTGTCTGAAAGACAGGGAGTAACAGGAATATCTGGCATTGGACAGGACAGGTGAATACAACCTGCAGTGTTCTCTGCACTGCTGGTCCTGAGCAATAGTCAGTGTCGTAATAAATGAGAAATAATAACGTACTTCTGGCTGCAGCAGCAGAGATTTGTGTGCAGTGTAGCAGGAGGACCCAGGTCGTGTGTTGTTGGGTTCTGTTACAGGTTTGCAAATGTGCTACTTGTTCTTTGTAGCTCTGTTGCTAAACAGACATTTTCATTTCTAAGTACTTGCTTTCCTTTGTTACCCCAACCTGCCAGAATTAGAGGCATCTGCCACAGAAAGGAAGTCAGTTTTGTTTAATTTATCTCAGATTTATTTTGTGACATTTCCTGGATACATTTACCCATCACATTATTAAACAAGAGTTTATTTTCTGGAGGCTGCAGCTTCAGCTTTGCCTATATTTCAGTAAGACAGGAATTTAAATACTGTCAACATGCTGAGAAAATAGAAAGTCTTTCAGGTGTGTTTTGCAGGAGAAACTTCAGAGCTCCACTATCTCTCCTAATAGTTGGCCTGGGGCTTTCTCAAATGTATAATCTGATTTTTCCACTCATTTGAAATGTAAACAGAGAATTTTCACAGAAGACAGAGAAATCCATCTGCAAATAATATTTGTTTTTGGCAATTTGTTTCTTTAATTATGATGATAAATTTTCACTGTTTGGCAGCAGCACAAAGAAATATGCCCTTGAATGTCTTTGTTCCTTCAGGAGGAGTGGAAAAAATGAGCCTTGTTCAGAAGGCAATTCCCCCATCTAGTCACATAATTCTTGTCACTCACCCCAGCAAGTGATGAGAAACCCCTTTTTTTAGCTCTCCCATGGGAAGGATCTTTGGCTAGGACTCAGAAAACATTTTTATTGTTTTTTTGGTTTTTGGCAAACTTTGACTGACTTGGGACAAAACTCAAGTGCTGGGGTTGTACAAAGTTCTCATCTGCCTTTATCTCTCAGAAATGCTGAGTTGTGATGAGGAACAAACACAGCTACACATGAATTGCCCAAATAAAGATACATCGTTCAGAGGTGCTGATAGGCCAGGGGAGCAGCTGACTTAAATTTGGGGGACCCTATATCAGACCCAAAGCTCTGAATGCCTCAAATGTTCTTTCTAGAGGTGACTCAAATGCCAGTTCTGCACCTTGAATCCATCTCTAAAGCATTGGATCATCCCAAAGTTGTTGCCAGGTTATTCTGTTATTTTCCTGGGGGCTGGATTTAGAAAATTAATTAATTTAAATTTGTTTTGTAGTACCACACACAAGCTTATTGTTACTTCTTCCTTTTCATTACAAATGAAATATATATGTTTATATTTCTAAATCTATTTATTTAAATTATATACTCTGCATTACGTTTGGGGCAGGTACTTCATTCTTTAGAAAGAAGAAAAACATTTGCAGGACACAACTTGAAATACAAAAATCTATAGATTCTACATGTTGACCGTTTATATTTGTTGGACTGTGATCTGATAGGGGAGAGACCTGGAGTTTTCTGTCTACTTTAATTTCATTTCTACCTTCTCAATGCACTGACTCGTGTGTGCCAAAACATCACTGGTAAAATGCTTCTTGATAATGTTTTTAGCAGACAAAGGAGGAACCCTTTGTATATGTAAAATGTTTTATAGTCCTTAGACTTCTGCAGACTAATTGAAAATAAATGTGGAGCACGTTTCATATTCAGAAAATCTGAATGGGCCTTGGTTCTGGATAAGGAAGAGGGAGCAGAACTGGCTGAACTGGGCATATTAAATTCTTTATTGAATAGCTTTGTCCCTTTTCTGCTGTTGGATTTCCCACAACTGGATTTTCTTAGTTTTTCCTCCACTTGATTGTTTGGTTTGTGCAAATACCCTGAAATCACTGCTCTGGTCAGGAGTCCTTCACAATTGCCTGGTTTGTGGCATTTAGTTTTCAATTTTAGCCATATGGGGTTTTTTTGGTTTGGCTTCTTGCCTTTTTTATTATTCTGTGCCTGCTTAATTGTAGCTTTTATGAAGAAATGGAGAAAGAGACATAAAGACAATAAGACAAATCATTCCCAAAGCAAATATAATGAGGGAAATGAGGAGAAGAGTTGGAGAAATATTTACATGATTTGAATTTTCTGTCAACATTCCTAAAAATAGAACAAAAAAATTAAATTAAATAGTCAGATGATTTGTTAGTGAAAGGAATAAAAAGAATTGCAAACACGAGAACAAATGTTCATTTTTATTCCAAGAAGTAGTTCTTGGCAGTATTTAGGACTTTTCTAATAGAGGAGACGAAATGTAGGTTTTATCCCACTTGAACATAAATCAGTGCAATAGACTAAACAATATCTATTGTAGGATGCACTGAGTTCTTCTGTTTTCTACAGCCCTTCAATTAAGTCTGTAAAGTCAGTCTGTAAACTGTAAAGAGGTTTAATCACCTCCTGCTCAGCCAGGCCTCCTGTAGGTCACTGCCATGGTCCTGCAGCACAAGTGCTGCAGTGGGGAAGCCTTCCAGTAGCACTCAAAAATAGCAGCAATTACCTAATTACAGCATGGTCATGCTAAAGGTCACATTAATGGCCACCAATGCTGATGAATGGGAAGGCAGTGGCGTGGATGAAATCATAATTAGTGCAGCATGAGGTAGGTGTTATGTTAAACATCCAAGGGGAAAATATGAACAGCATTGCACAGGTGGACTGAAATGTTCCCTGTAAAACCTCACCTGCAACAATCCCACTTTGAGAAGACAAGAATAAGCTTTACATAGTTTGCTCCTGTCAAGAAGTTAAGCCAGTTGTGAGTTTTATTCACCAACTAGGGAAGCACGTGCTGGGTGTGACACACTCCAGACTCCACTCTGCTCGTTTTGAGGTGTCACAGGGTGGCTGTGTTTGACACCACAGACACTGTATTTTCTTTCCAATGAGTTCACCAGCTACTGAGAAAGAAGAAATTCAACTGGAGCAGCAGGACAGTGGAGATGCTCTATGATCCAGGCAAACAATAACTCAGGTGTCCACTCCTCAGCGTGTCTGGGGAGGGTTTGATATTCTGTGCATGTCACACACACGTGAAAAATCTGCTGCTACCGAATTAGCAGAAAAACCAGCAACATTTATACTGTTTAGGTTACAAAGGTTTCCATCAACACTAAACAGGTGATTTTTCATTGTTACAGTATATACAGTGCTAAGATGGCACCTCATGTCTGCTATTGATTTCCCTGATGCTACCTTCAAACTTGGTGGTCACAGCTGTACCTTCCCTCTGTCAATGCCAGTGTCTCCAGTGGAGCCCCAGAGCTCACGGGGTTGTTTCAGTCTTTGCATGAGCTTCTGTTTCTGTTCCAAAATTGCCAAAAATCTGGCCCACGGGTGTATTTTCAGGACAGCAGAACGACTGAACTTGTGTGGGTCAAAGACATGGCATTTAATCAGGGGTTTTAAACAGGAGGAGAAAAGGGATGAAACTGTCTCTGTTAAAACTCCCTACTCTAAAGAATTTCATTCAGTTGCCTGGATTATTCCAACTGTGATATAAAAGTACAGAATGGCATCCAGATTGGCTTGCCAGGTATTGCATACAAAACACCTTTCTGAGAGAGTACCTCCATCTCTGTGGAATGTGCCATTCTCTCTGGAGAAGGGAGAGACCCTGTGGTTGCTCAGTGGGTTTCATGGGAAGTGTTGCCTGGCTGTGGGAGATGTACCAGAGATATTTCCAGTACCAAACCTGCCCATTTCTTATGGTGAAGATGGAACTCGCTTTGCTTGAGCTTGTTGAGAAGGAAAAGAACTTGAACAACCCATTTGTTTTATAAAACCAACTACCACTTCTAATTTTCTTCAGTCCTTTGGTCTTTTGAACTCCAGCCTTCCAGTCTTTTTTGTAAAATAAGAAGAAAAGCAAATGATAGTTAAAAAAATGAAAAATGCCTATTTGCAGTGAAATCAATTTTTTTTGTTGTTCCTTTGGGTTTCTTTTAATTTGATTGTTAGGCAGCAGGACAGGAGAACTAACAGGAACTGTGTTCTGATCCTGGGTAACTTCTGTTTAGTTCTTTCTTCACTAAACTCCCATCTCTGGAGATACAAGTTATACAGTCAAACATTTTACTCCTTTAGGGCACAGGTGGGGGATTCCTCTACTAGAACAGACCAGAATCTGGTATCTCCCAGCATGTGCCTTTCTTCCACTTGTGTCCTTGAAAGACACAAGGTAATGGGAATTCAAGTTTGAATTCCAGGCCAAGTATCTACTAATTTCTAAACATAAAGGACATTTTTAAGTGTCAGTTTTGGAAGACTGGATCCCCAGCAGCAGAGTTCCCAGGTTAGAGCAGGGGAGGCAGAAGCACCAAGGAATGTTGCTCAGGTTCCCTCCATCCTTGCCCGTTGTGTCAGTGACTGTTGAGCCTCGTTAGCAGTGACACATCCCAGAGCTGGACAGGTGGCCTGGGATCCAAGCCTGAGCCTCTTATCTCAAATATCTCTGGAAAGCTCCTTTGGCAAGAAGCCCAAATGGGAAGGAGCAATTCTTCTGTCTCAGACCAAACTTGTAAGGAATCTGGAAAGTAACAGGCTCTGCTGGCTGTTATTTCTGTTCCCTCCTCTGCTGTCTCCTCTCCAGATTATTTTTTTAATCGGAATGTTTGACTGCTTCTCATCTTGCTGATGCAAAATCTCTCAATATCCAGCAGGAGAAAGGTCCACATTGCTTTCAATAATCTTTGGATCATGCCATTAGCTTCACTTAAGCTTTGGGTCTGGTTCTTCACAGTTCAAAGGATTTATAATCTCTATTCCAAGTCCTTATCCAGTTTTTCTGAGTTCCTTAACTCTGTAGATATGAAAGGTCTCAGCTCTTCACCTGAGTATGAGCTGTATCTGCTGCTAACCAATAACACAGACATTTAGGGTAGGAAGGAAGGAAAAAAGGACATTGTATTATAATGTTTAACTTGTGAAACAAGAGGAAATGTCTTCAACCTGTGATCCATTTGGGTTGCATAAGCTATGAATGAGGCATTGTTAGATGAATATTAAATATACATGTATATATTAAATATTTAACTTGAACTTTGTTCAGCTTTCCTTTCTTGTAATTCCTTTTCGGTGTTCATAGAAAACAAACCTGATTTTTATGTTGCTTGCCAGTAGTGACCTCAAATTTTCTGTTTGTGTTAATAATATCAATTACCTGCACACATGAGTCACGTTGAACTTTGTCACTGCACTGGAGGAGTGCTTTTTGGAATATGTCCACAAAGCTTTTTTCTGTGAAAACATTCCCTATTGCTTGAAATAATCTGTGAGTGCATTTACTGTTTCATGCATATATAACTCTGGTAGTTGTTCGTTCCGAAATTTTTTCAGCACAAAGCTGAAGCCTGCAACTGTTCCAGTTGAGGTGATAGGAGAGATGATAAAAGAACTCCTGAGAAATGTCCTTGTCAAGCACAGGAATGAATGCAACCTGCAATGTCCCTGGAATCCCACAAGTGTATTTTGAACCCTGGGCTGGTGTGTACCTCCAGTGTGTCCCCTGCAGCTGTGAACTGCTACTCTTTGTGTAGGACTGGGCAAGGCTCCAGTGGCTCTGTTCTTACAAGGAATGCATTTTCCAGTGTTTTGAGTTAATGACTATTATTCAAGCTGAAGTCAGTTCCTTTCTCACACTATTTTAGGCTGTGTGTGGTAAACCTTTGTGCCACTCTTCTCCTCAAAACGTTCTGCTATTTTCCTTCTGTCCTAAAACCAATACAAATTATACCAAGGTCTTTATCTTCTGAAATAAGTGTTGGTTATCTCCATAATGACTAAATCCTGAAGTGCAGCAGGTTGGTATTTCTGCTGGCCTACTGACCCTCCTTTTATTGCTGCTGGTCAATGCAATGGTGTTGGGAAGTTCCTGTTGTGTTTGATGTGCAAATAGAGAACAAAAGGTCCCTGCCCTGACGACTGAAAGTTTAGGTATTTGTATTGATTGGATAAATATTGGGCATTTGTCTTTTTCCACCAGAAAGCGATACATTAAGGCAACTGTTTCCTGGACAGATAAAGAGTGAATTCTGAGGATATAAGGAAATTAAGCCTGGAGTGAGGCTTGTAGTAATGGGGGGAAGCAGGTACATGACCTTGCAATGTTCTTCCTCTCTTTCTCCCTTTATTTTGATTCTGACCTGATACTTTCTTAATCAGACTTTGAACAGAACAACAGCCTGTGTGTTTTCCAGCATTCACTCCATCCTTGTGTACCTCTGAGGTGGTTTCCTATTCTCACCCTCAGGGGAAGGAGTGCAGGACTCTTGGACCATCTTGTCTTCCTCACTTGCCTTATCCAAAATCTGACTCAGGAGTAACCCTTCAGGAAAGTGCCTTAGATAATGGGCCACGTCCCCCCTGCATTGCTCAATACCCACATGCTGATCTCTCAGGCATTTCAGTCCTTATTTATTGTTCAGAGTGTGTTGAAATTTCCATTTAAATTAAAATTAATAAAATGGAACGTTGCATTTTTTGAATCTGTATGGGGAAAAGTTATTTTTTATTTCCATTGTAAAGTGAAAATATTGCTTACAGTTTTTATTTTTAGCTCTTTCTTTACACGTGCTTTTCTTTGCTGGGCTTAGTTACACAGAAGGGTAATTTTATTTTGAAATTTTAAAGCTTCTTAGAAGGAGAAAACATACCCAGGGAAAATAAGATGTTGGTCTCATCTGAAGGAAGAACAAAACTGGTTATGAAATCATCACAATTAAAAAAATATCTTTGACCAGTTTTCCTCTCCATTCAGTGACAACAACTCTGATAAAATGTATCTAATTAACACCCAGCAGATAACAATTATCTTGTATAATTATGATGAGCTTGTTTGTTCTTTAATTGACAGTTTGGGCAATGTTTTATGATGTTTATGTGACCTTGCAGCCGATCTGGCCCCGCTCCTGCGCGCTGCCAAGTGCGTGGCTGTTTGGATTTCCAGCCCAGCCCTGGCTCTCACCCCTCGTTACCGTCCCTGTCACTCCAGGGTGACACATCCCGCTCCAGCTCTCCCTGACTGCCGCAGTGTCGCTCCCATCCCCTGGAATTGCGCCGAGATCGCTCCCAGTTGTTGCCCCTCTGCTGCCTGTCCCTGCCTGTGCCTCAGCTCCGGGGAAGAGCTGGCTCTGGAGGAGCCACAAAACGCTCAGCACCAGAGCTGTGCCCTATTAGGAATGAAATCCTTGGGTGTATCTCGTGGTTTCACATGTAGTTGGTGCAGACTTTGCAATAATCCCACAATCTGCTTTCTATTAAAAGGTACCCGATAGTTCAATAACCAAATGTCTGTGCTGATACAACAGATGCCTTTGGTTTGATGCATCCTGGGTGCTTTGGGAGGCTTTCAATTTTCCCACTGAACACAATTTCTTTGCTGTCCTGTAAATAATGAACCCTTGTGTGTTGGTACCTGGCTGCCATGATCATTTTTGCAGTAATGCTCTGGGATGCTTTGCCTACGGCCTGTCCTTTTTACTAAGGGATGTCTGGGATAAAATTGCAAATTAATTTTTGGAATAGATTTTGCTCTTTGCTAGAGAGAAGCAGATCTAAGTAGTTGGACGTTGTGGGGGGAAAAAGTGGAAGAGTGGAAAGATGATCAGGTGGCTAAGATATTCAGGGATGACTAAGAGGGGGTCATTGGTTTTAAGCCCAGTCTGTCCAGGTCAATTAATCTGTGATTTGATATTTTTTTTCCCACTGACAAAGTGGGGTCAGAATAACTATTTCCTGATCCCTTTTCTATGTGTTTTTCTGGGGTTGAACCACTGCTGCCTTGCTGTGGATATTTTACTGCCCTGCATCTTTAATTTTTAGGATATTAGTGCCTTCCAAGGGAAGGACACTTTGCAAGCCTGTTTCTTCTACAAAGGAGTGGGGACAGAAGTCCTTGTAAGGGCTGAACTTGTGTGAATATTCAAACTGGATTTGCAGCAGTGGGGTTTTTAATGTTTGCAAACAGGGAATCTTAAACAGCTGAGTAGCAGATCCCTCTTCCTGCCACGGTGGCTCTTAATTAAAATCTCTGTCCCAATTTCTTCATTTCATATGTAGGTGTGTTACTTAGAGCAGCTCTTTTCCATCTGTAAAGGAAGAAGGAGCTACTACCTCCTGATTTAAGTCTTCATCCAGAAGGCTTTAGGCCTTTATTGTTGGTTTTTTTTCCTTCAGTTTTGTCCTCCTCCTGTTGAGGAATCAACCATTTCCAGTAGTCAAAGCAAGTTGAGTCCACAGATTTTCAGTTCCAATTTCTTCATCCTCACTTTCCATCCTGAGTGCTCTGCCTGCTCCCAGGCTCCTGCCATGGTTATATTGGCACAATAATCAGGTGCCATCTCAACAAAATCACCCCCCTTGTGCTCAGACAATGTGAGGGCTGTAATGCAATCATGGAATAGTTAATGAACAAACCTGTGGTTCCCCCATGTTGCCTCACTATCCTTGTCCTTGGAGGTTTGGAATGAAGGGGAATCTCCACTGTGAGGATCCTACTTGGCACAGGGTGTAATGTGTGAGTCAGATTTATGTGAGGGGTTACTTCCCTGAAACAATTTTAAAATTAATTTAGTGAGAAACAAAGAGGAAACCTCCCCAAACAAGGTTTTGTGTGATATTTCTGGATTTTGGGGGTTCTATTAGAGAGGGAAATAGCCTGGGAGCAGCTTTTCTTATAACATCATCTTGTCCTTTTCACTCCAGGGCAGTATTAGAAAGTGCAGTGGTGCATAAGACTTAGTAATAACTATTATTATTTGTTAAGCATTGTCTTATACAGCACTGAGAACATTGGGTTTCTGTCCTACATGGATCATTACTTTGGGAATGCAAAATTTTTCAAACAGTAAGTGTCCTCGATGATTAGAGAGAGATTATCACCAAGTGCTGCATTTTTATTTGGATTTTTCTTGTTTTCTTTTTCTAAATGAAGGGGCTGAGCGTCAAATTAATCTAGTTATCTGTAGCAAAATTCTGGTTTGAGGATAAGATAAAGTATGTCAAACCACTTAACCTGGTCTTCTCTCAACATAAATTGGTTGGAAGGAGATGTAGAAAAATCCTCTGCATAGACTCTGATGATTTGAGGTCCCCAAGCTGTCAGTATGGGTAAACCCAATCCAGATGCCTGAGTTCTCAGATTTTGGGATAGATCCTCTCCATCCTTTGGGATGATTTCAGTATTTGACAGCCAAGGTAATGGACAGCTGAACTTCCAGCTTCATTAATTGAGATGTTCTATCTAAACCCAATGGATGAGGGTTTGGGTTGGCAGGAGGTGAGAGTTTCACGTATTATTTTTTCTCCTTTGTCAGGAGGATTCTGTAGAAGAAAATCTCAACTTAAATCAAGGCAGATTTGTGTGTCTATTACTGGTACATAAAATAATAAATGGAATAAAGTTTGGAGATGTATCCAGTAGATTCTCAGTAAGAAGCATTCTGAAGAGACCTTATAGTATTATCTGACCTTTAAAGTAAACTTGAATTTATTTAAATGCCATAGGCACAAATTATATGCTTTTTGCCTTAAAATTCATTGGGTAGCTATTGATAGAATTAATAAAGAATAATTTTTCAGAAAAAGTGAACATATGGCTTGTTATTACTGACTTCAAGCCACAATCAGAACATTATCCAAATAACTCCAGATCCCAGCAGTATGTTCTCAAGCATCTCGTACATTAGAGCACGACTCCTGGAATTCTTTGAGGCTTTGTACGTTCTGTTGTGGATCTTTGAGCAGTGTTGTCTGTGTTCTGACTTCTAATCCCATTAAAGGTCTTCATATTGAGGATTTTATAAAGGTGATGTGAAAACTTTAAGTGGCCTTGAGGTGACATTACAAACCTTGAGCTTGGGAACATTTTTTCAGGAACCGAAAACCTAATTAGAATCAGTCTCATCACACGAGTGTTTTTCTTTCTTTGTTGTTTCTTGTGGTGTTTGCTCTCCTGACACTCAGTTGCTCTGATTCTTTTTCAGTGTAATTTTCCAGTCCTTTACTCGTGTTCCTTCAAATCTTTATGAGTTGAGTAAATAGATGTAGTGGGATGAGCTGAGAAAATGTAAGACTTGCAGATTTTTTCCCAGTCATAGGGAAAACATATTGCAGCTTTTCTCCCTAAGTTTTTTGCTGATTCTAGTGACCAGACAACTCCCAGCCAGCTGTGGCTAAAGACATTTAGAAATGTTTTCAGAGACAGGCAGAATGGTTTATACTGGGCTGCTTCTCCCACCAGGTTGCCATGTACCTCTGCAGAGAGGGCTGGAACCACGTTCACTGGGCAGGGGACTCGGAGCACCAGGAACTTAAATATCTTGCTCATCTAATTTGGCTGTGAGCCATTTTATTGCTCTCTGTTTGATTGATGTATCTATTTAAATGCTTTAAGAACTGGGACTCTTTCTCAGCAGGGGCTTGCACAGTGCAGTGCAGGAGGGATCCTGACCTTGTTTGGGGCCTTCTGTGTTTCTGAGAATGAAGTAATAATAAATAGAATCATTATATAGAGTCATGGAATGGTTTGGGTTGGAAGGGACATTAAAGTTCCAACCCCCTTTCCATTGGCAGGGACACCTTCCACTAGCCCAGGTTGCTCCAAGCCCCATCCAACCTGGCCTTGGACACTTGCAGGGATGGGGCAGCCACAGCTTCTCTGGGCAACCTGTGCCAGGGGCTCCCCACCCTCACAGGGAACAATTTCCTCCTACTGTCTAATCTAAACCTACTCTCTGTCTCTGGCTGCACAATCCCAACTCTCTCAGCCTTTCCTCCCAGCAGAGCTGCTCCATCCCTGATCATCTTGGGGCCTCCTCTGGACTGGCTCCAACAGCTCCATGTCCTTCCTGTGCTGGAGGCAGCTCTGCAGGAGGGGCAGGGGGGCACAATTTCCCCCTCACCTGCTGAAGCAGCATTTTCAAAGCTTGTACCCAACCAATGCAGTGCCTCAAGAGTTGCTGTGGCCCCCAGTTAACACACACAGAAAGAGGGCTCTGAATGCAGCTTCCCTTTCTTGGCCTGGGTGCTCAGAGGAAAGGGGAGAAAATTGGCAATTTGGGAACAAAAAAGAAGAGACTGTCTTTATTAGAACAGCCAAAAAAAGAAGATGCAAACCCCCCTCAAAAGCCAAAACTAAATAACCCCTGGGCTCCACACTGTGGATCCCAGCATTATAGCTCTCTGCTGAACCCCCCTCTGCAGAGATTTCTGGCTCCCTGCTGCAATTTGAAGCTCTCTTGCTATTTAAATTATCCTTGGGAGACAGCCTTGTGTCTTTACTTGGCTGCCTTTGCTTTTTTTCCTATTTCTTTTTTTTCTTGATGAGTCATTCTACCAGCTTATACCCTCTCATCAGATAGACCAGACAATGAAGTCACCAGGGTTGCCTGAGAGCAAAATTGGCCCCATTATGCACAACCACTGTGCCTTGTCACTGATAATACACCGCTCAAGGGCTGGCCCTCAAAGCAGGATGGAAAATCACCAGGGACAAGAAACCTTCCACCCAAACAAAAATATTTGTTGAAATTTTTTGGGGGGTGTGTGTTTTTAAATTTGGTGAAATACTTCCAGCTGAAAACAGGAAATCACACACAAATAAAACTGGTGTTATATTTTGTCAATGTAGGAAGAAGAGTAAATTATCTCATAGCATCCCTTTACTTGTGTGCACCAGCCTCAGCCTTCTGCAATTAGCTATGGCAGTAAACTTTTTATTAGTCTTCTATATAAACTAGAAGACTTTATATCAGAATGTATGAGAGGAAAGAAAGATGCTTGACAAAAATCATCCTTTATTAGCTCAGTACAGAAGCAAAGTTAAACAGTCCTTTCTAGAGGAACATGGATGGAAAGACACTTACCCAGAGAACTTTATTCTAGAAACAAGACACCAAATATGAGAAGGAAAACAAAACAAGGATGAGGGAAGTGACTTTTTCCACAGTGGTGTGGCACATCAGTAGCTGGCTAGGAATAGTACTGAGGGTTTCTGGTTCTCAGAGAACTGTTCTTGCTGCTGAGGCACAGAACCTTCAAAGCACTTGTGGCTCTGATAGTGCTGATGTCTTGGTCTGCTCAGATGGAATAACAAAGGGCAGCTGGTCTTTTGGGATCTGTAGTAATCTGGTGAGGAATTCCATAATAACTGTTAATATTAAAGCTTTTACAAGCCTAACTATCTGCATCAATAAAGGACAGAAGAAAAACAGTTTATTTCCTGTTCTAAGTCTTACAAAACCATAGTCTCCATAGAGACCTCTCTTCCTTCCTTTCAGTATTTTTAACAAGAGGAAAATCTCTTTATTGCTTAGCTAGCCCATTCTCAGAGTTGTGCCCATCAGTGGGCTTTGGAGAGACTAAAGTGGCTGAGTTTCATCACCTGCCAAAGCTGATCCTTCTTTTGATTCCAAACTGGTGCTCTGTCGTTAATGATTTTTTTCCATCACTCCGTGCTGAACACAGATGAGCCCCAACGTTTCTGGGCCCTCTATTAACTCGGTATAAAAGGATGCTTTCTTTTCCCACCCTCTCTTAAGGCCCAGGAAACCTTAGTGCACTGCCAGAGGTGACTAAAATGTGCTGGGAGAGAGGAGAATCAGAGCTCAGGGGTGCTGCTCAGGCTGCTCTTTATGTCGTGTCTGCAGAGACCACAGACAGCGTCCCCAGTGCTGAGCCAGCGCCACTTCCACCCTCCCTGGGAAGGGAGAACCTCGTGTTGCAAACTCACCCGGGAGCACAGTCCAGAAGGTGACTGCTCTCAGCTGGGTGTTAAAAGCATCTTGCACTATTTTTCCAGCCTGATTCTATCTCACCAACTGTCTGGCTTGACTGTTTTGCTGTTATTCTTGCTTACAGTTTGTCACACTGATGAAAGATTAGCTCTCTGTATGTGGGTTTTTTCCTTTTTTTTTTTTTTTTTTTTTTTTTTTTCTTTTTCTTTCCCCCCCCCCCCCCCCCCCCCCCCCCCATTTCCCAGTGTGGCATTTAGGATGGAGGCTGAAAATATTGAACAAACTGCTGATGTCCCCAAGATTCAAATGTGTGAAAAAGACTCGTAAATGAGTCTAGCACACTCAGAAACATTCTTAACATCTGTTCAAGCAGGAGTACCAGTTCCCTTGCTCAGAAAGCACAATTTGTCCTCCCTGTTATTTAAAACTTTGGATTTGAATATTATCAGAGCGGAGCTAAGGAAAATAAACTCTTTGATTGTGGATATAGGATTTATAATGGGATGTGTGGAGGGGATGGTGCAGAATTACAGAATTTTAACTGCAGTGTGTCCTCAGTTTCTCTTTTATTGAAAGTCTTCCCCTTACAAAGCACTATGGAAAGGGTCACATAGTTGCAAGCCCTGTGGATTGTGTCCCCTGGACTGCTGGACATGGGTTTACTGGCAAATAGCATGTGTTTTCCTCTGAAAACTTACTACTTATGTAGAATAAAGCAAAAGCACCTTAAAAATCACTAAAAATAATTTTAAGCTTTATTTTCATATACACTCCTGATGAGGCAAAAATTTCTCTAACTCAAGTTTTGTCTGGCAGTAAATATTTCAGGATTCTGTCTCTGAAATGTAGTTGCAAAACTCTCAACACTTCTGCAATTTAGTGAGAAAAAGGCTATAAATAGGCAGCCAGACAGAGGCACAGCAGGGAGAGCCCAGGGGTCCGAGCTTCCAGCCTCTTTCTGCAACCACAGTAAAGAATTGCAGACATAAACATGACAATTGCAAAGAAAAAAGCAACTGGTAACTCTGAGAACGAAGAAAAATACTTAAAATAAGTGGCTGCATTTAATAAACAGGCTGAGTGGCCTCTGCAGTTTGCTGGGGATGCTGCAGTGACCTTCCCTTGCTCCAGCCGGGCTTGGGATGAAGTCCTGGCACTCCAGCCTGGATACAGCTCTCCCAGGCTCTGGGGACAGATGGATCCTGCTGTCCCAATGTCCAGGGCTAAAGCCCACTGCTGGTTGGGACTGCAGCACCCTGGGAGCTCTGGAGAGGGGTTTGAGCACAGTTTTAAAGCAGGTGGATGAGAAATCTGTGCAATATTGTGAGTGTTCCGAGGACTGGAACTTCTTTAATCACAGTTAATCCATTAGCATTCCCCATTTAAGTGACATTTATTACTACAAATGTCTGGTGATGGTAAAAGCAGTGGCTCTGTTGCAATTATTCCACCTTCTAGAATCCATACCAGTGCTTTTATTTCTTTTTGATAGAGAAATCATGTAAGTCACGAGTCTCATTGCTGGTGTGGTACAGCAAGATGAAATACTTTTCCTCTGCAAGGTTAATGTGCCACAAGTCTCCCCATGATTAGGAACAAAAATATACCAGCAGGTGGGATACAACCAGAACAGAGAGAGTTCTGTAAAATTCAACTTAAACCAGGCAATAAAATGGGCAATGGCAGCTTAGAGGCCTCCTGCAGCAGCGATCTATAGTTCCAAGGAGAAGTCCCCTGGAATATACCTGTTGTTTTAAGAACAATGAGATTTTTGCAACTGTGATAACAGTTTTCCAGCTGCACATTGGTCCTAAAAGCCTGACAAGTGTCCTTTCCTGAGAAAGAGGGATTTTGAAAGTAACCTCTAACACCAGCACAAGGACAGCAGTTAAACCTGATTACCCTTGGTAGTGTTTAACCCTTCAGGGAAGCTTGGAATTTAACAAATCCAAGTAGAAGCCCAGAACGTTTAGTTGGGGTAAGTGAACTAGGCTTTCATGGCTTTGTTTCTTGTCTTCATTTTGGGCTGAGTAGTATTTAACTCTGTTAAACACTGTTCAAAACCAGCTTTGCAGTTGGCCAGGGTGTTACTGTGACCTGAACCTCCAGCTTCAAGCATCTGGTGCCTGTTTGTATTCCTGGAATATAAACTTAAGCATGCATCCTACTCTAAAACTTTTCTTTAGAAAAAAAAACGTTGTCTGATGAGAGCTTTGCTTCTCTGTTTGTTTTTTATTGCAGTACATCCTTTGGGTTTGGTTTTGAATTCATCTCTCATGCTTGTGGGTCTGTCACCGTACAGTGCAAGTGGGAGAAGTTCAGTGTTTTGGTGTAAGACAGGTTTGAAAATAACCTCAGTATTTCACAGTAAAGGGAAATCAATAAGGGCAGCAGCAGAGAGAAGAATAGGTGTATTAATAAACCAAGACTCTGAGTACAGTGGGGTCAGGAGCTAAATGTAGCTGTACCTAAAGCATCATTCCAGACACCAGTATGTGGTGGGAAGATTAGAAGCTTGGCCTACTTGTAGCTAGACACAAAAAATGTGGGTTGTTGGGTTCTTTTTTTGGCTGAGGAGGGGTGTTTCCCCATTAGGATACAAAAATAGTAACTCCAGAAACTAAACGTGACTTGCAGACAAACTTTGAGCTCACTCTACTGAATTCCTTTTTTCAGTGTCACTGGAGTCTGTGAAAGCAACCAAATGCATTCGAACTGGTCACAGG